TCCGCAGAGCTGGTGACAAACTTCCCAATTCCCATCCAAAGCGTTAGGGGGAATCTCCCAAATGAATGACATAAGGGAAGAAAAAAGTGCAGGAGGTGAAATCTTCAAGGAAAAAGGTGGGGTTTTTTCATAAATTTGTTTTTTTCCCTGGTTTGCTGAGATTATTTTGGGAAGGAAGAGGGAAGTGAAAAAGAGGGGGAAGAAAAGGAAACTCTTTCTCCTTGCCCCACTTTTCCCCAGGCCCACACATGGCTCCGTTGCCACCAGCTCTGGATTTAACACTTCCATCACCCTCCAACCCCAACACTGGCAGCAACCCCAAACACACAACAGCAGCAAAACCCTTCCCCAAGGGTCTCCTCGCCACCACCCCTGGTGGTGCCCCTTGCACAACCACAACTCACTGCCGGACCCCCCCCCCAGCACCAACACCCTCATCCAAACATCCAACACAGCCGAGCTCTTTGCCATCTCCCAAAACCACCCCAATCAGCAGGGGCTCACCCTGTCCCCCCACCCCCTGCCCTGGCGCCAGTTGATCACCCCCGGCAGCCCCCCAGAGCGGGTGAGACCTCCCCATCGATCCATCACCATCCTCATTGCACACCAGCAGCCCTTCCCAGGATTTTAGGTTCGAGACGTCACTTAGGGCCTGCTCCATCCCTAAATCTCCTCCTGGGGTGGGCAAGCAACTTCCCACCCCGTCCTGCTCCTATGGCTCCCAGTAGCAGCATCACCTGAGCCAGACCCCACGACCTCTTTCCATCCTCCTCCTCCTCCTCTCCGCACCGAACCCCGGCTGCTCCGGCATACGTTAGCAGCAGAGCCCTCGCCTGCTCCGTGCTCCTGGCACGTGGGCTCACCCCTTCCTCTGCATCTGCCCCCTTCTATGCTGCTCCCCTGGCATCGTCCCACGCGGGACACCGCGGTCCTGGCCAGCCCTGTCCCCCCCGCTGCCAGCACAGACACCCCAAAACCAGCCAGCCACGCCCTGGGAAAGACCAGCCTTCCCGGGACGGGGGTCACAGCATCCCCCCCGACGCCAGCACCGCGCTCACATCCACCAGCACCCCAAATCAGCCGCCCCTGGTGCGGGGAGAGGAGGGGGCGGCGCCGGTGCCCCCACCCCGGCTTACCTGTGGTGTCAGGCCCGGGCTGGAGGATCCGCAGAGAGTTCGAGAAGGTAAAGATCAGAAACAGACTTTGGTAAGTAACCACACGTTTAGAAAGGAATATATCAGTTTGGAAACATCTCAGTGCATACTTCTTATATGAAAATATACACAATTGTATTTCATTCTCCAAAAAAAGGAACAATTAAAAACAAAAGCAAACTAGCCCAAACACAATATATTAGCTGTTTTTTTGTTGTGTTTTTTTTTTTCTTTTTTTTTCTTGTTGTTGTCATCCTTTAAAATCTTTTAACGCTACACTTTGTTCAGGTTACACTTTTTTTGTCCTTTTTTTTTTTTTTGTAAATGTTTTTTTTCTTCATGCATTTTACACCTTTATAGCCTTTGAGAATAAATAAGCTCCATTTTGCTTCCACATCTCTAAAAACTGCAGCATTTTAACTATTGTCATTTAAATCGTGCAATTTTTTTTTGCAACACCCCTTTTTAAAAAATGGAAAATATATATATATATTTTAAAACTAAACCCTATACAACGCAAAAATTCCAAATTAAAAAAAAAAAATTATACACAATTGTAACTGTCAACAGTACAGATGAGCACAAGAAATAAAATTAGATCAGAAACATATTTATAGAAGCACAAAGGAGGGTGTTGGTTTCTTAGATTGTCATTCTTCTCGTTGTCTTTTGAAAATTAGGAGGAGTTTACCGGATACTACAGTCTGGGGGGGGTGGAGATAAAGGATAATGGACAAAAAAAAATAAAATAGAATATAAGAATAAAATAACCCCAAACCCCCAACAAATAGAAGACCCCGACAAACAGCCCCCAAACCCCTTTCACCGCAACGTGAAGCCGTGTCTGACCCGGGGCAGCCCCGCCTTCCCACGAGCCGTACTTGCCCGTGGCACCAGCCCAGGGGATGGGGTCGTTCCCGCTGCCGCGCTGCTGCGGATCCGTCCGGCACGGCCCGGCCCGGCCCGGCGCCTTCCCCGCCAGGCACCTCTTTAAACCTGCAGCTACGTAACCCAGAGCGTTTGTGTCGTGGATTTTGTGGTGGTTTTTGTTTTTTGTTTTTTTTTCTCCAGGCTCTCAGCTTCCAGGCAGAAGCGTGAACTTGGGAGTCAGGGCGTGAAGTCCACGAGCAAAAGCCTTTTTTTTTTTTTGGTTTGTTTTTTTTTATTCCCCACCCCGCTCGGGGTTTGCTCTGCGTCGAGTGGTCGGGTTGGGGGGGATGTCTCACCGCCGCGGGCTCCGGAGAAAACTGCTCTGCTGGGCTGTCCTGCCGCGCCGCTCCCAGCGGGGCAGACCCCGGCGAGCTGGGCTTTTTTTTTTTGTGAAGGACAAAAAAAAAAATAAAATACAAAACAAGAGCGATGAGACGTCGTTATCCCGCCTAATTTCCAAAGCAAAGGCCGTGCAAAGAGCTCAGGGTGCGCGTCCGGTACATCCGGCGATCGCCGGGTCGGGGCGGAGGAGGGGGAGGTCACAGCGTGGGCGAGGAGGACCACGGTCCGCAGTGTCTCTCCCACTTCTCAGGGGACAAACGGAGACGGAGGGAGGGAGATCCGCTTCTGCCGCCGCCGATGCCGCGCCGGAGTTCTGGAGGTGAGAGCCGAGCATGTCCCTGGCACGCAGTGGCACCCGCTGGGTTCGGCTTGGGGAAGGGTAGTGGGGAGGGGGGATTTAACTGCACAAAGCCTGCCAGGAGCCTTCCCTGGCACCACGGGGCTTCACCCTTGTCCGCCCAAAGCCCTCCAGAGCGCAGAAACAGCAGAGGGAATTCCAGATTCATCATCGGAAAGGAATCAAACCATTATTTGGAAAAGCCTTTGTGGCAGGAATTTGATAGGACAAGATTTTGATGGGGCAATTTTATCCCACACATCTCTCCGTGTGTCGTTCTGCAGGCAGCGGGTGCCGGTACCTGGAACCCTGGCACTGCCAAACATCTGCCACCCTGGACCCTTCACCAGGTCTCCCACACCCAAACCAATGGATCCTCGGGAGAGGAGGGAAGGTCAGGGCAGGCATCAGCTCAGGAGGGATGTGTGGGTGACGCCCCTGCAAGGATTTCTGGAGGGTTTCCTCTCCTCCCCCAACCCCTCCCTTTAGGTCATCCCTGTTCATTTCACAATAATCGTCAATTTTTTTTTTTGGTCTTGTTTTTCCAAATCAGAAACTTTGGGATAAATGCTTGGTTGGGAAAACGTTTATAAAAAACGATACATTTTCTTCTGGTTTGCCCTCATCCCGGGACATTTTTATGCCATCCACCTCATTACAAGGCTCAGCTGGCAGCTGACACCTGGCAGAGGGATCCAGGAGGAGGATAAACCCCACTGTGACTCTGTTCCTCTCCCTCTGCTCCGGCTCAGGGGAAGCTGACCCCAAAGCAGCTTCTCTGCAGCCCCCCAAGCCTGGCCAGGCTCCAGCTGCTGAAGGAGGTGGCAGAGATGACATCCAAGCAGGTTTTGTGCCAGTTTGCGACCGCGAGCCCGGGGGTGAGCAGGGCCGGGGTGTCCCTGCACAGGGTGACAAGGCAGGCTGGGAGGGGGACGGGGAACCAGCACCCCAGAGGAGAGCACCTGCAGGGAGAAAGCCCTCCCTAACACCTACACAGGCTGGGAACAGACCCTTCTGCTCCAAACCCTCCAGCCCTGAGCTGGCTGCTGCATTTTGGGATCAGGGTGCTGACACCTGTCCCTGGGAAACTGCCAGAGCAAGTGGCAACACGAGGAAATTCCTTCTTTTTCCTTTTTCCTTCCACTAAATCACTGTGTCGAGACTCGACCAGACTTTCCATACAGCTCTCCCTTACCTTTCAAGGCCTAGAAACCTTCAAGCAAAATCCCAAGGGATCATTATTTCAATTGCATCCTTCAATAAAAAAAATAATTTCTTCCCGTTTTCCTGGTTTAAAGCTTTGGCCCATGTGGAATGGGAAAGCATTTTTTAAAATGCTTTTATGGATGTTGTTTGGTAAAACCCACCATTTTCTTTGAAAAGCAGCACTAATGCATCCTCCCTCTGCACACCCACTGCACCCAGGCAGAGGCAAGGCTTTCCTGGGAAAGAGGAACTCCAGAGTTCCAGTGACCCTGCTCAGAGATGGCAGAGTTCCCTGCTCTGCTAGGAAGAATGAAAAGATGCTGTCTGCATCCACTTGTCATGCAAGCTGCAAACGGGATTAAGCCTTAAAAATCTGCCTCTTGCTCCCTGGATTAAGCTTTCCAGTATCCAGGAGGCCCAAGTAGGCTGTGGATGTTTCATACCCAAGCCCCCTCAGCCTCCCTTTCCAGCTGGTTTAGGAAAACTAGTGTAGGAAAACCCTTTCTGAGGAAAACTGTTGTCCGCCAAAGCCCTTCAAGTTTCAGGAGAGCTGGATGGTGTCCGAACTGCCCCTTCCTGCGCAACGGCCCCAGGAATGCCCGGGCACGGAGTGAAGGTGCATTTCGGGGGTGCTCTGTGCCCTGCCTGCCCCCGGAGCCTGCCCTGCTGCAGGCGCTCTTCCCAAGGGATACGGTCCCACCTCCCGGGGAGGGGTCTCGCCAGCCAGCGGGCACCGACTGCCCGGCCCGCCCGCCCGCGGGGGAGCATCGCCAGAGGCTGCTGCTTTTGGCAAGCACACAGATCTTCCGTTCCTGTGCCCCGCTCCCACACCCTCGGCTGTTCCCGAGCCCGCGGCCCCGGCCGAGGAGAGCCGTATGTACTGCGTGCGTCGCCTGCTGCGCTAGAATGAATGCCTACAAAAATCCTAAAGCTATTTCTCAGGCAGTTTATGATAATTTTTTTCCCCCCACCCCAGCCCACATCCCCATCACCCGTTTTGCCCCCCCCTCCCATCCCTTTCCCCCCGCCCCCCTTTCCCGCGGCCCCACCGGAGCCGGCGGCGCTCCCAGGGACGGCGGGGACGCGTTATGTGACCCAGGTATCCAACCGCATGCGCTTTACGGAGGGGCTCTCCCCCTCGGGCTCGCTGGTGGGTCGCAGGAGGCCCAGGGACGAGCCGAAATCGGGGCGGGCGGGGTCGTCCCGCTCGCTGCTGCCCTCGTAGGAGCTGGTGTTGCTGCTGAGGCTGTCGACGGGCGAGCGGCCGGTGGGCTCGTGCCGGGGCTGGTGGGGGAAGGTGCTGAGCGGGGTGGCAGTGTTCCTCTCCCGGTTGGGCGAGACGGGCTCCGACTTGATGCTGATGTTGGGGTTGGTGTTGACAGTCAAAGTGGTGGTGTGGGACAAGTGGCTCCCTTGTCTGGGCATCCAGAAGGCGGGGGGGAGAGGTTGGGAAAGGAGGAGGAGGAGAGCAGGAGGGGAAGGGAGGGGGAGAAACAGATGAGAAAAGAGATAATGGGAAATCTCTCATTATTATCTTTTTCACAGCCCTTTAGCCTCCAATACACACGATCCAAAACCTGCACATCCCACAGCCAAATGAACACAGGATTATGAACCTGGGTTAGATTATTAACCTGGATTCATAATTAGAATTATGAATCACTACGACTCCAGATCACATGATCTGTGCACTCACCAGGACACATCACTGCCGACCTGGGATTAGACCCACAGAACCCCGTGAGCAGCACCTATTCTCCCACAGCTGCCTGTGATCCAGCTCCAGTCCTACCCACTGTCCCAAATGGCAGGAGAAGGACAGGGTGTGACATCCCTGTCCCATGGGTATCCACACAGTTCTGCCCCAGCATCCCCGTGGGCTGCACAGACCCGGTGGAGGGTTTTGCTCCAAACTGGGAACCTCTTTACTACAACCCAAAATTCCATCCAGACTTTCCCTACTGCTGCAGGAGGTCTGGGTGGCTGCTGGGGAAGCTGCTGTCTGCCCTGCCTGGAAAATGTGCTCCAGGCAGTGAGGAAATGCACTGAGCTCCCTGCACAAAAGCCTAGTCAGTCCACCCCTCCCTCCCTCCATCTATCCATCCAGTCCTCCATCCATCCACCCTGCACTTTGTGCTGGGCAAGTCAGAGTTTTTGACTCAGAGACTGAGGCAAAGTCACAGATTTCCCCTCTTCGATCCCTGCCTCTTTCTGTCCCACATTCTCAGTGCCATCACAGGCAAGTTGCTTAAATCTTTATTTTGACCAAGTTAACTTGGTGTGTGGACGCTTTATTTCAGACTGAAAGGAGATCCACTTCAGAAACCCTGCTCCAATATACGCAAGTGCTTGTGTTCTCTTCCCTGGAGCAAATCAATCCATTTGCAATACTAAAAGCCACCTTCTTCTTACACCAGCAGGGCACAATGCCAGGCACCTTATCCTGCAACTTCTGTCCCATCTAAGCTGACTCTGGCTGTACCTCTGCCCCCCCAGGGGAGAGCAGGGAGCAATCCTGCTGTGGGCAGACAGCGGGAGGCAGCTCTTGGAGCATCCCCGAGTGTGCCACTGCTCTGATCTCAGCTGGGGACTCCTATGATAGAGGCAGGGACAGGACTGCCCAGACTTCCTGAGCTGGCTGGGCTGGCTCCTCCTGCAGCTGCTCCTGCCCCCCAGAAACACAGCGTGGACCCACCGGGGCCCAGCAGGGGAAGGTGGAGAACCCACGGAGGAGTCACAGATGGGTTCTGCAGGTCTGGCACCTCTGAGGAATTCCCCATTTCTCTCTGAGTGGCCCTGGTACCTGTTCCACTTACATTAAGTTTCCTAGTGACACAGGGACCAGGTGCTGCTGCTGTGGCTGCTGCTGCGGCTGCTGCTGTTGTTGCTGCTGTTGCTGCTGTTGTTGCTGTTGCTGCTGCTGCTGCTGCTGCTGTTGTTGTTGCTGCTGCTGCTGCTGCTGCTGCTGTTGCTGCTGCTGCTGCTGCCAGGCAGAGATGTTGCCAAGGGACAGCCCTCCAGGTGAGCTGAACGCTGGCAGCGAGGACAGCTCAGCGCTCGTCAGCTGATAATCTGGAAGAGAAGGAGCCCTTCAGTCATTTCAATGTCAAACCTGCTCCCACAGCACCCTGAGAGCTGCGAGAAGATGGAGACCTGCGAGAGACACAAACATACAATGTATGGAATACCGGTTCGTGCTGCAAGTGGCACAGGGGTGCTGGCTAGAGGACACAGCTCTTGGAACCATGGAATGATTTGGGCTGGAATCACAGAATCACAGGATCAAGTAGGTTGGAAAAGACCTCTGAGATCATCAAGTTCAATCTATGACCAAACAACACCATGGCAACTAGACCACGGCACTATGTGCTATGGAAGGCATCTTTTAAAGGCCATCTAGTCCAACCTGCAGGGTCACCTTCCACTATCCCAGATTGCTCCAAGCCTCATCCAACTCAGCCTTGAACAATTCCAGGCATGGGGTAGCCACAGTTTCTCTGGGCAACCTGTGCCAGTGCCTCAGCACCCTCAGCATAAACAATGTTCTCCTTATACCCGGTTGTTTCTGGCCTCAAGGCTGGCAGGACCCTCCACACCCCCAACCCCCACCAGTGCCATTATCCCCCAGGCACAGCGGTGGCAGGAGCAGCCCCACGGTGCAGCTGCATCCAGCTCCCCCCAGGAAGGACTGTGGGGATGTGAGACACCCCTCAGCGACCCTCCAGCTGGGTGTACAGAGCACAGGTACACATCTCCTCCCCTGCCCAGGCAGAGAACCTCCAACAGCTGGTAAGACCCACCCATACCTGGAACATCCCCACCCGCACCTGGGGCACCTTAACCCACAGCTGGGGCATCCCCACCTGTGCCTGGGGCACCTTCACCTTTGTCTGGGGCACCTTCACCCCTACCTGGGGCATCCCCACATGTGTTTGGGGCACCTTAACCTGTGTCTGAGGCACCTTCACCCCTACCTGGGGCATCTCCACCTTGCCTTGGGCATGGCCACCTGTGCCTGGGGCACTTTCACCTGTGCCTGGGGCATCCCCACCCGTGCCTGGGACACCGTCACCCAGACCTGGGCCACCCCCACGTGTGACAGCAGGGGGCGCTCCCCACCCGCCGTGGGGACACTCAGCAGCCACCGTGTCCCTCCCCACGGGCACCCCACATCCCGGTGCCCCCCCACGCTTGCAGGACGATGCCCTTCCCCTACAGGGCCCCGGGAGCAATCCCAAATCCCCGTGGAGCACCCCATCCATACCAAGGGGGCATTTTAGAAGGGGTGGGAACGACAGTGGGGAAAACGGGGGGAAAGTGCTGCTGCTCCTGGAGATGGTCAAACCTCGCTCGAGCCACGCCAACACCTGACACAGACACCACGGGTCAATCGAACTTTCCCCGTGCCTTCTCCCTCCCCCTTTCTCTCTGTGATTTTGGGTGCCTTGTGGTTTCAGCTGTCCCCACCCCAGCAGCACACACAGAGGTGGCTGTGCCGGTGCTGAACCGCTGCCAACGCCGCCGGCGGATCCCCAGCACACCCCACCCAACGTCCGTCACCTCCCGCACCGGCCCTTCTGGTTTGGGAGCTCCAGACACCCACTGGTTACAGTGGCCGCCCCCACAGCCCCCAGTAGGGCTGGAGCTGGAGCCTGCCTGGATCACAGAGCTGGGAATGGTTGGGTTTGGCTGAGTTTGGCTGTGGAGCCGGCACGGGAAAGGGCACGTAACCTTGGCCAGGGGGCAGCTCGGCACAACTGCCCCCACCTGAAATCCAGACAATTCCCACTCAATTAACAGGTGAGTCCTGGAAAGAACAAGTGGCAACGCCCCAGGCTGGGAGTTTGCTCAGGGTATCTGCACCCCACAGCGACCTACAAGATGATCATCCTGGTAGCATCACAGAATCATGGAGCTATCTAGGTTGGAAAAGCCATTCAAGACCATCAATTCCCCCAGCCTTGCAAAGGCCACCACTAACCTGTGATCCCAAGTGCCACATCCACACATCTGTTAAATCCCTCCAGGCATGGTGACACCACCACTGCCCTGAGCAGCCTGTTCCAATGCCTGACCACCTCTACCACGATGAAATTTCCCCTAATATCCAGCCCAAAACCTGCTCTGGCACAATTTAAAGCCATTTCCTCTTGTCCTGTCACTTGTTACCTGGGGGAAGAACCCGACCCCCACCTGGCTCCATCCTCCTGTCAGGGAGTTCTAGAGAGTGGGGAGGTCCCTCTGAGCCTCCCTTCCTCCAGGCTGAGCTCCCCAGCTCCCTCAGCTGCTCCTTGTGCTCCAGATCCTTCACAAATTGAGATAATTCCCACCCAATTAACAGGGCAGCCCTGGTAAAAGAAGTGGCAACAGTCCAGGCTTGGAGTTTGCACCTATAGTGATGACCCCCACACTCACTCCCACAGTAAACCCCGAGGCACAGACACGGCTGGTGCTTGGGCAGGAACACCACGGTCAGCTGCGAGAGAAAATAACTACAGAGAGCTGAAATTCAGCCCCCTCCACCCTGAGCAGCAGCACAGGGCTCAATTAAAACCTATTCTGGGGACTCTGGCTGTGCCCAGCCTGGTTGGAGAACGGCAGGGCCAGCGCCGGCTGCCACACGGGGCTCATCACGCACAGCCAGCATCCTCAGGGCTACACCTACTAATTTAGGAGAGGGAGTTCCCAACACGCCTGTCCTGGGTTCTTCCAGACAAGCAGCTTTTTTTACATTTTTGCAAACTTTCCTCTGAGCTCAGAGCAGGTTACACGGGCAACCAGCAAGCCCTCGAAGTTTTCGCGGAGGTCTGACCGGTGGCACATGAACAACCCCTTTGCTTGGGCAACTGCGCTGTCACCGTCCCCTCGGGCTGGCTCGAACCCCACCAGCCTGAATCAGATGTGCCTACAAGCAGGCTGGTCTGTATTCTTCCCAACTTCCAAACTTTTGGGGGCCTGTGCTTACTGTCATTAAGCCCCTATTACGACATCGCCCGAGCTCTGGAGAGCCCGAGGATGGGTGTAGCTGTAATTAGCATCCACTTGCACAGTTCAGTGGGCTACAGTAGGGCAGGATCAGCCCTCACAGCCCTTCTGGCCACGACAGCATCTATATAATGGCTTTCCCCTTGATTTTAATCCTGTGGAACCTTTGGACTCAACCATGTCTTGCAGCGGTAAGTTCCGTGAGTGACAATGCAGCTGCTCGGAGAGCACAGGCACATCCCTGCAGCAGCACATTCTCCTCTCCTGTTAATTCACTCAGTGGGGAGCTCTGACCTGGCCACTGCTCTTCTTACCTGTGTTGTAGGCTGTGGGCATGGCAGAGAAGGGCAGCCCCTGTGTCAGCAAACTTGGAGTCGCCACGGAAACAACCGGTGTGGTCAGAGAGTGAGTTGCTTGGGAGACACCCAACCTCTGTGTGTTCTGCTGTGGGAGCAAACAGGGAGGCAGTTAAAACTCAGACGGTTGGACTCTGTCGTCTTTGTGGGTTGTGGCCCCTCAGGACCCCCTGGGCATGCACTGGGGGCTGAGCACAGGCACTGTGGGATAAGCAGGACTGATCCTCCGGCCATTCCACACCGCAACAAAGCAAAGGGCAAACCCCACCAGCTACTGCCACTCTGGACCTTGTGACGCTCATCTGCAGGTCACTTGACCTTGGGTCCCCTTCCTGCCCAGGACTGGGCTTCACCCACCAGGACCAGCCATGTCCCTGCGTGCATGGGGCACAAATATGGGCAGGATGCTTCAGACTATTCCTCACTGCTTTCCAGAGCTTGTGTGTGAGGTCTGCTGGGCTACCAAGGAGTGACAGAGGGACCACCAGGACCAGCCAAGGCAGCGCAGAGCCGACACATCCTCTTCCCTGCATCTCTGGTGGCCAAAATCTGCCTCAAGGGAAGCTGAGGACGCTGAGCACTGGCCTCAGGATTTTAAAGGGACTCTGTGGCCTCCCAAAACTTGAAGTCCAGAGCTCAACAACCTGCCAGCTCGGTGCCCTCATGAGGTTTGTGTGACTCAGGCATTAGCAGGTCCACTGTGGAAAAATTCTGCCCTTGGACCAGTGCACGCCAGCCTCCCCCCGTGGTTTTCCAGGCAGTTACGTGGGCGGATCTATAGGTCAGATTCAGCCCTGTTTACAAGGCAGATAATCTGGACTGTCTCTGCTGATCTGATTTAAATCAGACTCAAGAGGCTTGACTCTAATCCGAAGCACCCCAGCACACGTCACCCTGTGAAGACTGGGGCAGTGCCCAGCTTAAATCACGCCTGGCACGAGGCTGGCTGTGCCTTCCTCCCACACCAAGGGCTCCCAGGGCCTTGGAGGGCTGGGAATGGACCATGCAATGCTTCACGGACATGGGGACTCTCCCGGGATAAGGCTGGAGGCTCAGCCCCTGCCCTGGCCACCTCCAGAGGGTGACAGCACCCGGCTGTGCTGGATTTGCACACCCTGCGCCCACACGCTGCCCAGCCCGCAGGTCCCTCCCGCCGCCCGCCCGGGGAAGGCGATTACCAGGGCTCTAATTGCTAAAGCCCTGGGCTCCAGGAGCGGGTTTTCCTGGCACACATCCCGCTGGCAGCCACCCTCGGCCGTGCCCACTGCCACGGGTTAAGGACATGGCAAGAAATGCCTTCACAGAGAGCCGGACTCAGCCCCATCCCACTCCTGCCTGCACTGGACCCTGAGCCAGCCCAGCGGGACGCAGCCCACAGCCCCATCCCCTCTGCCTCTTGCTCCGGGGTTCTGCAGCTTTCCCAGGAGAGCAGAGGCACAGGGACCAGTGAGGCCACACTGGAGGGCTGGGCCGGTGTGACATGGGCTGCGCCGGGTGTATCAGCCCTGGGAATCACAAGGTGAGTGCAGGGATGCCATCCTGATTTTCACTCCAAATCCATGCAGGGAGGAGGTGTGCAAGCTGCCCCCCTCCCCCCCCACCCCGTGCCACTCACACTCCATGCCCACGTGCAGTGCTCCAGCTGCAAACCGCCATTCCGGCTGGCACCAAACCATGCACATGCTCCCGGGGATCCCGCTCCCCCTGCCACGTCAGGAGTGTGGAGACAAACGGGGGGATGCCCCTCTGAACCCTCCAGAGGAGCAGAGTGTGTTTGGAGCCCAGAGCTGCAGGAGCAGGGCTGGCAGGGCTGGGGCTGCAGGCAGAGGCTCTGGGCAGAGGGGCAGGACGCAGCGGAGGGGCCGCTGACTCATCCCCCTGCCGCCTGCAAGGAGGTGGGAGCTGCCATTTGGAGAGAGGAGCTGGTGTGTGGGTTGAGCAACATGGAGGGAGCAAATCTGGGGAGAAGGTTAATGGAGCAGGGGGGCATCTGAACTGGACAGGAGGGATCAGCAGGGACAACGATCCGCATTTCCTTTCCCAATCCAGCTGTGCCAAGGTCCCTGTCCCCTGCTAACCTTATTTCATCACACTCCACCTCCCCTCTGCCACCTCAGCTGAGGAGAGGATGTTCTTCACTTCAGGCAGAATCCCGCTGGTTAACTCAGACCAACAATTAAAGCTGCTAATGCCATCCCGGTGGATTTTTGCCTAAAGCTGCTCCAGTGCAGAGCCCGGGAACGCCTTGGGCAGTGGGAATAGGGATGAGCAGACCAGGAAGAGGGGAGTGACTGCTCTCTCTCTGCACATGGGGAAACTGAGGCAGGGAGCTGCTGGGAGGGGGCCACTAAGCAAGAAGGGTTTGGGGGCACAAAGAGCAAGAGAATCCACGCCTGCCAAAGCCCTGGCTCATCCTTGCCCTGGCCAAGAGTGTCTCCTTGCAGGCTGCCAGAGGGACTGGCTTACTCCTGTGTTTTGGAGAGCTTTTCCCTGGCTGTGAGCTGCCTCCCGCAGCAGCTCTTGCCCTTCCCTCGCTGAGCTGACCTGTCGCCCATCTGCCCTGCACCAGAATAGCAACGGAGCAGAGTGAATCATTGCCACAAACAAGGTGGCATTCACTTTGCTGGCAGGAAGAGGAAAAAAAGCCATAAAAATAACACGGAAAACTGCCCCGTGCACAAGGGAGGTTTAGGGAGTGCACTAGCCAGCCAGTGGATTTACACAGGCTTTAAATAATATCCTTAATATGGGAAGAGCCTGATTTACTCCCTGTCTCTCATGTGCTGGCAGTGGACCAGGTCTTCCCGTGCAGTAACTGTGGTGGCTCCAGCAAAGCCCATGGGGCAGGTCCAGGCTGGTGGCGGTGCCCAACCTGGCTCTACAGCCCCCAGAGGGACCCTGGCTCACCTCCCTGGGGGGACCAGCACAACTCTTTGGGCCTTGATAGAGAAACAGGTGCTTTACAGCTCGTGTCAGCTCCTTCTTTTCCATAGGGTACCCGATTTTCCTGTAAGTGCGTTTTTCCTGGGACTGTTTTTCTGAGGCAGGACTGGATGTGTGTTGGTGCCCACATCCCACCACATTCCCAACGGAGGGCAAAGGAGCCAGCGCCCACCCCCTCCGCATGCTCCACACCTCTGCCAAGCCAGGGCAGGGTGTGGGGACCGAGGGGGCCGAGTGGCCAGTGTCCCACCCTGCCGCCATGCACACTCAGAGGGAACTCACCAGAGCCAAGTGGTCCTCGGTCTGCCCGCGGGAGAACAGGGAGAGAACCGAGAGGCACCGTTAACTCGAGCGCCCCGTCCCCGCCACAGCCCGCGCTCGCCGGCACCACGGCGGGGAATCCAAGCCTTCCTCCTCACACCTCCCTGCCGGCGCAGCCCCGGCCGGCTTCCACTCCTACCGCACGGAACAGGCGCCTGCACTGCACCTGCTCCGGCACCACGTCCCCCTGCGGCCTGCCCGCTGCTGGGGGACCCGCTCCCACCCCAGTCAGTGTCCCCACAGACCCACGGACACTCACCAGGTGGTGCATCAGCCCCTTCCCGCTCTGCGAGGTGATCACACGCAGGTCTGGCTTGCGGCTGTTGGCGGCGAGCTGCGTCCCGTGCGAGGGCGGCGGCGGGGACTTGGCTGGGATGATCTTGCCCAGGCTGCTGCCATTGGACACGGGAAGGAGACCTGGAGAGGCTCTGGCACTCACATAGCCATTTCCTGCAAGAGGAAGGGTGGTAGAGATGAAGGAGGTAAGTGCATGGTGATGGTGAGTGCATGGTGGTGAACAGGTACAAACTGAGAGAAGGGACATTTAGGCTGGAGATTAGGATGAAACTCTTTGCTGTGAGGGTGGTGAGATACTGGAACAGGTTGCCCACGGAGGCTGTGGATGCCCCAACCCTGGCAGTGTTCAAGACCAGATTGGACAAGGCCTTGAGCAACCTGGTCTAGTGGGAGGTGTCCCTGCCTGATAGGGGGTTGGAACTAGATGATCTTTAAGGTCCCTTCCAACCCAGATCAGTCCATGATTCTATGATTCTATGAATGCATGGCAGTGGTGAATTCATGGTGATGGCGAATGCACAGCTGTGGTAAACATATGCACAGCAAGCAGTGCCACAGCAGGGCTCCATGGATGCTCCTCCCAGGGAGAGCAGCACCTCATCCCCTCCCAGGCTCCCCAACACCCTCCCACACCCAGGCAGGCTCACCCTGCACGGTGAGGGCAGGGTAGACAGTGACCTTGAGTTCCCAGTGCCCAGGGCAGCTACTCAACCTGCAGGAACTCCCTTTTGTTCCTGCACTAACACCTGGTACATCTCAGAGGCCTGATCAGAGGCTCTTTACATGCCCTGGCCGGGCACCACGGCTCTGCCACAGCAGATAATTACTGGCACTTTCACTTGTAAGGTCTCCTTATGGTACCAGAGCAGAAAAAAGGGGCTATGGCCAAGTGAGGACTCAGTTCACTGCTCCCACTGCCCCTTTGAAGATCTGAGGTTCTTTCCTCCTCCTCCTCCTCCTGCTGCCCCACTTAAGAATTTTATGTGCAGAGAGGGGTGAAAAAAAGAAGAAAGGAAAGGAAGAAAAAAAATTAAAAAGGAAAAGATTTGATGAACATCAGGAAAGGAATAAATTGGATCAGATTACTGTTCTGATGAGGGTTGGTTTTTTTTTTTTCCTGAATAGGCCCCAAAGATAGAAAGGCGTTCAGCAATCACCAGGATTCAGCCCTCATATTCATTGCACGTTAGACCGGGAAAAATAGGTCGCTGATTGCATTATTAATCACATCTACCATTGCGCTGCATCTGCATTTCAGCAGGCGGCTGTGGCAGTGACACTGCGGCTGCGGGGGCCGAGTGCCAGCCGCTGCCTCTCCAGAGCTGTCCCGGGGCTGGAGGCAGGGGTGATGGGTGAACCGGGCACAGGGAGCCACTGGCTTTTAGATTTATTAACAACGAAGGTGCAGGAATTCCCCGGGTGACCTTTGCTACCCACAGTGCCAGTGGCCACGGATAAGCCAAAAGAAATGTTAAAACCCCTTGATATTCTCCTGCCCAAGGTGGCACCAACATGGGTACACACGTGGCTCTCATGGTGACTCCCTGTTTGAGGCATGGCACGTTATGCATCACCTGGGGTGTGGATCAGGGTGGCCCCTGTGCTGGAGGGGAGCTGGTTTGGGTTCCAGTGCTGCCACTCACCCCCAAAGGTGGGTGGCCTTGAGCATTCTCATCACTATGCCCACCCAGCCTGGATCTGGCCACCCCAGTGAGCCAGAGGGAGAAGGGCTGAGCTCCTGCCTGGATTTCCCAACAAAGGCCCCATGCTCAAAAAAGGGGTCTAAAAGTGAAGCACTCTGGGTTGCCTTTGCACCACCCCAGTGTGAATCTGAGCAGAGCTGGGGACAGCCAGGGCTCAGCATCCCCTTCTCGGGGCAGGCGGGGCGGGCTGGGTGCTGCATCCCAAGGGTGGCACATGCTGTGGTGCACAGGCAGGATGCCGGGATACAGCCGGGATACAGCCGGCATCGCTGCAGGATCCGGCCAGAGGCACCCGCAGCTGATGACTCAGAGGCAGCAGGTGATCACTCAGTGCTGCAGAGACTGCAAGGGAGGAGGAGGAGGAGGAGAAGGAGGAGGAGGAAGAGATGCCCCAGGTATCTGAAAACCGCAAGTGCAGTGCCAGAGCCACGCTCCCCTCCCGCAGCCGTGCGGGGAGCCCCGGGGCGGGCAGGGGCCAGGGCCGGCGGGGGTCCGGGGCTGGCCCCGGGCGGGCTGTCCCTGCTCCTCACGCCCGTTTCCTGCAGTGGCAGCAGGAACGCGGGGAATGCTCCGGTGACGTCAATGCTGACATTCAGGGGCCCTGCCAAGCTCCTGCCACGGCTGCTCCGACAGCTGACGTGGGGGTGGCCGGGGGGACAGGGGCCGCCAAGGTGCCTGGGGGGGCCGTGGCATGGCGGCCCCTTCCCCCTGCCCTCAAGCACCAGCAAAGCTCCGTGTCGGGCACTGCGAGGCCCCGGGGAGATGCAGCCTCCCAGACCGCCCTGGCACCTGGGAAGAAATCCCGCTGGCACTGGCATGGCTGCTGCCCAGCACTGGGAAAAGACTATTCCCAGGAGGGGCTGTGGTGCAGGGCACAGGGACGGGGCGGCCGCAGTGCTGGACCAGCCCCATCCACGCAGCCGGTGGGACCCGGCTCCAGTTTGGTTTTAACTGGGGCAATGTGGAATTTCACATTCCTACTCCGTGCTGTCGGCTGGAGCCCCACTGCAAAAAGGCCTGGAGCGGGGTGTCAAGCCAGGCTCCTGGAGCAAGGCTGCCTCTGCCCTGGGACAGATGGCATCCACCCTGCCAAGCCCAAGCCCACGGCCTGCAGCAGCTTCTCAGCAGGGCCTGGGGCCATCGCTGGTTTTTGGGCCGTGCCCACACCAGCGTCGGGCTGACATCCTCAGCCTGCAGATGGCGGAGGCAGATGTGGGGATGGAGATGTTGTTAGTGCATTTTACAGCCAGGGAGCTGAGCCACAAGGCCTGAGCCTCGTTAGCATCGAGGCTCTCGCAGTGGAAAGGGACCTTAATGAGCTTTTTCCCTTGCAGTAAAGTTGCTTTACAGGGCCCAAGCCCGAGGAGGAATTGGGTGTTAATTGATCACCTGAGGTGAGGGGGGAACTGGTTGCAGCATGAGGAGCTAAACCCAGTGCTGCCCAAATCCTGGTCCTCAAGGATCACTTCTCTGACCTTCAGCACTCCCAGAGACCCAGGGGAGAGGGATACACTTCAGTCTCCGGGGTCTTCACTGAAACCAGCACTCCCCACAAAGGCTGGAGCTCCCCATGCCAACTCCTCCCACTGCCAATGGTAGCAAAATTTTCCCCAGCCCTTCTCTCCGAACAGCAAAGCAAAATCCTGTGGGACACGTGGGGAAACCACGGGCAGGAGTGGCACATGGAGCCCTGGGCACAGGGCTGAAAGGTTCCTCACTTACCCACAGGGCTCGGGCAGGCTCCATTTGTGTTGTTCAGGTCTCCCCCGAGCATTGCCCCTGCAAAGCAACCGGAAACACAGGGTCACCATCCACGCAGAAACAGGGTGAGCATCCCTACTTTTGGGGGGCAGGAAGTGGGGGTGGAGCACAATGGAGGAAAGCAGAGGAATGTAAGTGGGGTTGCATCCTCGGGGGAGAAAGTCCTGGGCGAAATGAGCAGCATTCCTGGTGATCAGGTTGGGAAACATTATCCAGGCAGATCCGTTTCCTTTGGGAAGCAGCCAGGTGCACAGGATCCTGCTCCAGAGGAGGCAGCTTGGAAAACACTGCAGCTATTTTATTCCAAGCCCCCCTTTGGGGGACACGGGGGCCGGTGCTGCTGGAGAAGAGAGCCCCAGCAGCACGACGTGAAACACTATCCCCCCTGTAACGTTCAGGCCGAATGGAAACCATCCCTGCACTGCCAGGACGCTGCTACGATCCTGCCTCCCACCATCCCAACATTTGGAAAGTGCCGCCACTCCCCACCAGGCCGGGAAAAACCAGACCGGGGGCTTTCATATTCCCCAAAAACCTGAACGTTTTGCCCCTCCTGCAAGAAGATTTGACTTTTTTTCTGCCACGTTATGGAGTCGCTTCTGAAAGCCACCTATTTTCCCCAGCTGGGGCTGCCTGGCTACGCCGCGGGCAGCGATTGTGGCCAGCAGCCGGCGCGGAGGCTCTGAAGCTGCAACCGCAGTCATCCTGGAGCCCTGGGTTGGGGAACGAGGAGCCTCCGATCCCAAACCCCACCTCTAACCACCGCCCAGCCCTTCTCAGCCCAGATGGGGAAACCTGAGACAGGAACCTTTATTCAGCCCGTGGCTCTGGGCTTCAGGTTTGCAGAGAGCCCCTGACACTGGGAGGAGGGCAGGAGGGCTGAGCCATTGCTGTGCAGGGTAGGACAGTTGCTCCCCACATGGGAGCAGGGTTGGGAACAGCAGTGGTTCCAAATATTGTACAGCTTGAGAAAGGGCAAGGTGACCCACAAAATGTGGCAGATGTGGCACCACAGCACCCTCCCTTCAAGGGATGGGGCTGTAAAGCCTGGCCTGTAAAGGCTGTAAAGGTTCCTGGTGCCTCTGAAGTCCTGGAGGAGGGACCCCACCAGGATTTTAGGGCTGTGCTCTGCTGTGGGACTCCACTTGCACCCCAGCCTCTGGTGCCCAGGCTGCTGAAGGGGCTCACTCCCTTGGGTGATGCCAACCCCGCTCCCAGCCCTGCATAACCCCTTGTCTGCCCTTCTCCCACCCCAGAGCCGATGGCACTGGGCAGTGCAAAGGCACCCAGCCAGCGCTCGCTGTGCATTTGCTCTGAAAACAACACTCCCAGCTCTAGTGCAGGGCTAAAACCAAAAAATTTAAGGGAAAAAAAGGGAGTTTTTCTAACATGCAAGGCCCTGGCTCCCACAAGCAGGATTTCTTCCGTGTCCCAGGCAGCGAGCGAATGAGACACAGATGGCCGGACTTGGAACACCTCTGCGCTCGCAACCACAAAATGATCCCCCTCAACCGAGCAGCGAGCAAGCTGCAAACAGCGAGCCCCCAGCGGGGTCTGCTTTACCAGGGAGCCTCTTCTGCTCTCAGCCGAGGGGCCTGCGAGAGGGCAGAGATCCCTGCAGCCGGAGTGATGGCTGCCTGTGCCTGAGGAGGGTTCTGCTGCCCTGTCTGGAGCGAGATGCTCCTCTGTGGGACCAGACTTAGAACAGAATGACCCCTGCCCTGCAAGTCTGGGGCTTTGTCCTCGTACCTGAACACCTCAGGGCACTTCAGAGACCCGCTGTGGGGAGAGCAGTGAGCAAACAAGCCGTCTCTGAACCATGGCTCCTACTGCATCCCAGCCAGGCAATTCACTGTGCTCGCCCCGACCCACCACATAATGTGCTTCTGGAAGCACCTTCCAGCCCTTCTCCCCAAATCCACACCCTTGGCAGAGCCCCCCTGAGCTCTCACAGAGCCCCCCTGAGCTCTCACAGAGCCGGGGGGCCGCAGCCAAGCACCCACCGCCCAGACGTCCGGGCGGTCACAGGCAGCGCCTCTGCCATTTCGCAGCCCGTGCAACTTTCACAGACCATCTGTGACACCCAAAATAGCAGGCAGGGGCTTTCTGCACGCTATTATTATTTATGATGGCACCGCGGGAGAGCTGGGCCGTGGTCACACGTCGTCCCCGTCCCCCCCGGCACTGCAGGGGACACAGGGGACAACTCCTCTCTCCTACCCCGCCCTCCACCACCCATCGCCGGTCCCTGCTGGAAATGACGGCTCTTCCAATCTGTCAGCAGAGCCACATGAGTAATCACCGGCAACCAACTGCAACCAGCCCGGCCCGACTCAGAACAGCCCTTTTTAGGCAGCAGTCCCATGTCACCGGAGTGCCACCGGCGAGCGGGATGCCAGCAGCCACCCCCAAGCCTGGGAATGGTGCTGGGTGACTCATCTTGTGCTGCCCAACCTTGAAACAGATCCCTGCAGAGATCCAACTCTCAAAGAGATCTGGGTAAGGCGGGGGGGGGGGGCCCAAGGCACAAACTGGGGGCATCAACCTCTGGTAGGAGGACAGGAGCACATGCCTGGCAGCAACAACACTTCCAGGCTGCTCCTGCCACCAATGCTGGGACACGGGACCTCTGGGTAGGGGATGGAGGCAGTAGGGTTGTCCCCTGGCTCCTGGGATGCCCCATGCCTGGTGCTGCACGCCCAGGTAGGTTGTGGGCAGGGAGGATGGGGAGGGCAGGGTGTGAAGGCTCAAGGTGTGGCTCACCTGCGCTGGCTGGCCGCTGTGGCAGCCCTGGGGACACCGTGTTCCTCTGCAGCGCCGGCTGCTGCGGCGACAGGAGCCGGGGGTCTGTCAGCGACGAGGTCACCAGGGACTGGGTCACCAGCGAGCTGCCCGGGTTGCTGAACTGCAGCGTGTTTTGGTTGGTCACCGGCACCGTCACGGGCATGGCGAAGTTGGGAGCGGGCACTGCGGACTGAACAGAGAGCGGGGGGTAAAGGGCAGCCGGAGCTGAGTCCCTGCAGCACAGCAGCAGCAACACCCACTGCTGATCAAGGGGGGGCAGTCAGGGCCCCCAAACCTCCATCTCACTGCTGGCCTGCACTGCTGTGCTTGAACCCACACTGGCCCTTCAGGGGGATGCACCAGAGCCCAGACTTCACCAGGGAACACCGGGAAGAGCAATGGGCTGTCCCATTGGACACACCACAGCTCTGCAACCTGCTGTTCTGGCCTCATTTTCAGACTATTTATTTACCCTCACTGTGTTCAGGGCAGCCACAGAGGAGAAGCTGGGAACATCCTAGAGCATGAAGGAGCAAGAAGCACCCCAGTGGTCTGGCCCCACCAGCACCAACAGCAGCCGAGCTCGGCACTACCCCTCACCCCAAGAGCAGCAGGGATTTTATGAGGCTGTTCCTCATCCAGAGGGGTGGAAAGAGCCCTCCAGCAGTGGATCTCAGTTTGGGCTGGCACTGGTACTGGAGGTTGAGCACCTGGGAAAGACTCATTTTGCTCCACACAACCCCTGGGTGACGCTGTCATCTATCCTGGCTCCTCTGGGAGCTGCTGGGAAGGAGGAGCTGACCCCAGGGAAGCGGGAGCATCGCTAAAGCCCTATCCTTGGCCTCAGGTCGAGGACCAGCTTCACCTACCAGCATCCCCGTGGGAGCCAGACCCGCTGCGATTATCCTGGCTGTCTGTCTTATGTCACTGATTTGCTCTTCGTTAACAGGAGCCGGCACCTGCTTAGAGGCTTTAGCCGGGGCTTTGCTAAAGTCCCACTTTAATTTGCTTGGGGACGGAGAGGCAGAGTAGCCCAGCACCGGATGGGACCATGGCAGGACCAGATCCAGGACCCCAGAGGCTGCACTAGTGAGGGCAGAGGGAGTTGAGAATCTCCCCACTGCAGATGGATGAAGGCTGTTGCCCTGTGGCCCCTTCCCCTCCAGAAATCTGCCCTTGGATGAGTGCTGCGCCTTGGAGGCAGAGGGGAGGATGGGAGGAAGGAGTGGGACAGTGCTCACCCACGCCTGGCTGCCAGGAACCCTCCCCACCTGCCTCCCAAGGGCACCCTGTCCTTCAGAGATATCCCGCGGCCGCAGCCAGGCTGCGAGGACGGTGGCTCTGAGCCTGCGCTGCAGCGCTGCTCCCGTTCACAGGGGCAGGGCTCAGCAACCCCCTCACTGCTGGGGAGAGCTGGAAGGTGGAGCCCTCCCTCTGCTCAGCCCCAGGACCTCATCCTGCACAGCAGAACCAGAGGAGGAGGAGGAGGAAGATTTCTTGGGCGTCGCACGAACACCGGAGCAGCGTTGTGTAATAAATCACTGCCAACACGTCTGTGTGCGTGCACATTCCCAGCGAGGGAGAGGAAGAGCTAAACCCCCTCTGCAACACAGCACCAGGAGGTGGATACACTGGCCCCAGAGCCGAGGTTTGCCTTAATCCAGCTCTGTCCCACTGCACCCGCAGACCAGCATCAGGCTGATGCTGCCCCTGCGTGCAGCAACACACACTCAGGCCACCAGACTCCCCCCGCCCCAGGGAGGGCACAGCTAGTAGGGACAGTGGTTTGCATATCAGTCCAAAATCTTGGGGGTGGGGAGGAGATGCACACGTCAGCCAAACTCCACGGCTCCCGCGCTCGTTAGAAGCGAGGGCAAACACCAGAGGCAGAAGCCCCGCCGAGGCCTCTCGTTAGCGGGCACGGCTGCCGTTAAGCTGCCCCGGCCGCCCCGTCGGGTTAGTTCTGGTCACACACACCAAACCAACCCAGCAGTTAAAATGGAAAAGCGCCGCCTTCAACCACACACGCTCCACCTGCGCCGCTCGGCCCCTCGCGGCCGCCGGGGTTTAGTGGAGAGCCCGATGCTTCGCCCTGACCGGGAGCCGCCCAGCGCCTGAATGCCACCACCCTAAGGACTTTTGGGCACAGACTGTCCCTTTGGATTGGCACGTGTGGATGATGAGGGCTTGCTGGAAGCCCTCCCTTTGCAGCAGGCATGTACTGAGGCTGAGTGGCCCCTGCTTCCCAAGGGGAAAGCTCAGGTGGATTTTTGGGCCTATTCTGTGCCAGTGGCAGGGCTTGTGCCAGGTGCCAGGGAGGTGCAGGTCCAGCTGGGGTTGTACACCCACACCACACAAGCCCTGGGAGGGTGGACACCTGCCCCCCGCTAGTGAAACCGGGGAGGATGAGGCAGATCCAAGCCTCACCAGAGCTAATCCTGCCCTGAACCCACCCGTGGGGCTGGGCTCACTGTCACAGCAGATTGGTGAGCAACCATCACGTCCTACACCCCATTCTCCTCCACTCCTCAGCCCTCCCAGGTCTCAGGGCAGTGCCCCCACGCCCTCCACCCCAAAATGTAGGGGATGGAGATGCAAATTTTGGGGTCCTTGCGAGGTTCCTGGAGTAACACAGTGCTGAGTCAGCAAAATAAAACCTGGGGATTTCACAAGACCTAGCTCTCGAGAAAAACCAGAATTTTAACTTGTGGGGGTTTGCAAAGCACAGAAGGACATTATTTTGTGTGGGGGTGTGTGTGTCATTTTTTCTGTGCTGCATCCACTCCTGGAAAAGGAGCCTCCCTCCTGCTCCCACAGCATTAATTACGGATGCAGCAACTTGGGGCTAATCCCCCCGAACAGCCATTGCCTGCATCGAGAGTCTCTGCTCCCTTGAACTAACAACTAATTTGAAACATGTCCCCCTCCTCCTCCTGTCTCCTGACACAAATCCCTTTCAGCACTGTCCTGATGCCACCCCGGTGCCGGTGACAGCTCTGGGATCACAGGCTAAAACCTTCTCTGGATTTCTGCCACGGCCACCAGCTGCCCCAAGGGCTCGGTGGATTTGGGGGGAATTAATGTGAAATAGCCCAAAGCAGGCTGAGCCCTGCAGGGATGTGAGGGGTCGGCACCCACTACCAGCTCGCATGAACACTGGGATCTTAACCCAAACAAAAATCCCTTTTGTGGGGAAAAGAAGGTGCAAAAAGGAGGCCCCTAATTCAGTATTTGCAGCAGAGGAGGGAAGAGGGGCAATATCCTCCTACACTGTCCAGACGGAGCTTGGAAAGCTCAGGACATTGGAGCTAACGGGAACCATTTTCCCAAGGGTGGGAAACAGGAGGGACCCTCAAGGCCCCTTGTGCATCCCACCCGTCAGAGCCGGGTGCATTCGGGGCTGTGGGGGCTGCGGGCATCGGCTCCCAAGGCACGGCACGGCTCCGAAGCAAAGCCATGCAAGATCCACCCCCCGTCACCTGGAGGCACCGGGGAGGGGACCCGGGGGGGTTGCAGGCCACCAGCTACTCACTGCGAGCCGGTAACTCTGCATCATTTTATCAAACTCCTCATCAATCTTTTTATATTTCTCTTCCGTCTGCGGGGTCAGCGCAAACACTTCATCCCCTTCCGGGCTCTCGCACTCCCTGTGCTTCTTGTTCAGCGCCTGTTACGTTTGGGGGGGACACGGGGAGGGGGTGTCGGGGAGGGAGCAGGGGACGAGGTTGGGAGGAAGTCGAACAGAAGAGAAACAAAACAGAAAAGAACATATAATGAAGGTTTTCCAGCCACGGGCAGGTACTTACACCGTATCGCTTGAACAGGATATCCAGATCCTCGCTGCCTTTGCGGTATTTATCCTCCATCAGAGGGCTCTGGTCTATGGAGTCGTCACCGTCGGGCTCCGGGCTGTCACAGCCGTTAAAACCTTTCTTTCTTAATGTCTGAAAGCACAACCGTGACAGTCTGAGATCCTGCGTGGAGTGGGGAGGGGGAACACGGGCAGGTCCCCCCCAGAACACCCACCACGGGCCACGACTCGCCCTCGCACAAATCAACACCATCGCCCCAAGGTGCTGCTGACCTCAACAGGGTCAGAAAGTCAGGATAGAGATCCTAGGTTGTGATGAGAGGGCATCTCTAATTTAGGAATTACAACATGGGGAGGAATGGAGAGGAACTTCCTTGCTTTCAAAGGCTCTGTTTATGCTGGAGCTGAATTTGGCCCCGCACCAGCTCAGGCGCATTCGTCACCTACAAGTACCACATCATGGAGGGGAAATAAACCTTGATGCCCTCTGCTCTACTGCAAAAACCGGGGAAAACCTGCTTACAAACAGGAAAATAAAACCCCAAAATTATAAGCAAAGAGTAGCTCATCCTTGACAAAACCAGACGGGTGGCATTTACCAAACGCAAAGGTGCAACAGGGAGAGCATCGCAGGACAGGGCACGTGGCACAGTGACAGCTGCGAGCTCTGGCGGGGGTGGCATGGGGGGTGACAGTGACAACACTGGGCAGCAAACCCCAGGCCAAGACTGGGCCCACGAGCAGGAAAGGTCTCAAGCACTGCTGCATCGAGGCAACAAGGTGACATCTGCTCTTTAGGAGGAGCCCAATGACCGCCCATCCTGGCCATGCACAGGGGACGGTGACACCCCAAAGTCCCTCGCTCGTGCTCAGCAGCCAGCTGAGATCCACATTTAATCGCTCTATTTTCAACATACCAAAAGCAATCAGGCGTTATGACGGAACCAGCACTTGCCAACTCGTTTTTTTTTTTTTTTTTTTTAGAAGTCAAAGCTACAGAATTTCCTGGAAGTCTCGGGCCCTTTTCATGCCAAAATCAGCAGTGGGGGAAAAAAAAAAAAAGTCTTGACAATTCTCTGTCTTCCTAAACAGCAATAAACATCTCCATTCTGAGGCCAAAGCGTGTTCAGGAGTGGCTCTCCCACTCCCTGTGAGCTCTGGGAAACACAGGGCCTGGAGGGGAAGTTTTGCTGGAGAGAATAAAAGCCGGGATGTCTCCAGAAAGGCTGGGAACGCCGCAGGTAGGATATGCTCGGCACTGGTCCACACAGCATTGGTGCCACACAGCTCCACTCTTCCTGCAGGTCTGGCTTAGTGGATGCTTGTGCCAGGTGGCCACGGCCAAGCAATGGGCACCACACCCACCCCCAGCCTGCTCTCCATCCAGCTGAAGCTTTTCACAATATTTTCCATTAGAACTGCTCCTTCCGTGGCGCCATTTCCACCCTCGTTACCGCATTCAGTGGCAGAAGGGAAATGTCCTCGTCCAGCTCCAGCTCCAGCAGCGAAGGACCAGGCTCACTCCTGGCCACAGTGGCATCTGACACTCTGCTTGGCTTTACCAGTAATTCCTGCTACCTAGTAACTATTAACAAATTACCTAATAATAATGATTCTGAATAATTCTTATACCTAATAATAATATTCCTAATAATTCCTAGTACTGCCAATTCCTGTGCTGTCTCTCCATACAGAAAGGCAGCGGGAATTGGAATTACTGCCATGAACAGTAGAGAGATTCCCAGCGCTTGTTCTGCAGGTTCCCGAGGATTTTTCCCTACTATTTTTCTATTTTTGTATGTGTCCTTGTTTGTTCTGAGAACGGCCCAAAAGAGGAAGAGCCACTGCTAGTGGGGAAGGAACAGCTTTGCCTTTTTTTTTTTTTTTTTTTGAAACTGCTTTTTGTGGATTTTTTTTTTTTTCCAAAACCTTTTGTTTCACCGATGCAGCTGAAAGACGGAAACTTGAACTTTTCTCTAAAAAAAAAAAAAGAGTTTTTTTCCTTTTTTTCTTTCAGAGGCAAAGTGGAAAAAGTTGTTCCATGAGCAGCAGAAGGGTTGAAGTCGGGTTTCCTTCGGGTGCTGGGGACACTCTCCAGTGTCTAAATGGGCTGTCCCATCTCACCATGATTCCTTTTGGAGAAACTGGAACTCACACCTCTGCCCTTCCATCTCTGCCTGGCAATTGGGAAGGCAATCCCTCACATCCCTGGAAGCTCCTCTCCTCCAGCAACAGCTGCTGGCAGGTTCAGGAGCTGTGGGAATGGATGAGCCATGGCCACTCCCCGGTACCTTTGAAGGAGGGAACCTCACAATGGAATTTTTAAGAGGTTTCAGCCAAGCAACAACATCCTTCTCCTTTCTAAAACCTGCGGCAAAGACACAGAGGCCTGGAGGTTTTAGGCAGCTCCCAGTGCCCTTGCGTCTGCCCCCTATTTGTCACCCAAACCCAGAGCAGGGATGAGTGAGGGGCTGCTGCCACCAGCTGCAGTATTTTGCCATTTCTAAGTCCTCATGAAATCACCCTGGGGGTTGTTTCCTCAACAAGTCTGTCAAGGAAAGCGGTGGAATGGGGTGGACGTGGCTCTGCTCACCTAGACCCTGAAACAAGCTCACAGCATTGCCCTTCACCTTTCCCAAGGTCATTCCCTGTGGGTCTAACACATTTAGTGCCCTGCACAGCTTCACCTTGGTCTCCTCGCTCTCCCCAGCCACCAACCTCTTAAAATCAGTTGTAACTTCACCATCTGTGAGACCCACAGCTCCCTGCCAGGGTGGGTCTGGAGCACCCTGAGCTGTGAGGGGCTGCTGCAGCGCTGCCATCCCCGCCCCAAGCCTACTGTAACCCTGCCTGTAACCCCGGCCACAGCGAGGGGCTGCTGGAGCTGCGGGGAAGGGGACGAGGATGAGCTCCAGAGCTGGCACAGCCGAGGACAGGGCTGGTCTGCAGCGTGGTGGGACGGGAAGCACCGGCGGCGCTGAGTGACCGCGGCCCGAGTCGCAGCAGGACACGAGCCAAGGCAGCCCAGCTCGCAGCAATCTGCTGCTCAACGAGAGGTTTGGGACAACAAAATGCCATTTCCAGCCATTACAGGCGTTGGCTGCTGGTTCTTTCATTTTTTATTTCTTTTTTTTTTTTTGACAAAAAAAATGTGTGTCCCACATTTTTAGCTTTTTAAGATGATGCAAAAGGAAAACAATCCTGCTGGAGCAGGAATCAAACCCAGAGATTCCTGTTTTCGGGATCTCTGCAAGGGTTTTCAGAAAAGAGCTTTCCTTCTCATTCCTTGTCATTCTCTTTACCAGGGTGAAAACAGAAGATACAAAGAGGTTTTCAGGAAACCTTTCTGTCACTGGGCTGCAGCCAGTGGAACACGACTATTTTTCATATAAAAGAGATTTAAAAGCGATTCTTTCCCAGCAGAAAATTTTCAGAGGAGAAAAACCAGGGTGGGAACTTCCCACGGCAAAAACCGACCTCGCTCATCATCTGCCCCTCTCGCTGCCGCCCCCAGGATCCCCATTCTATCAGGATCCACTGCAGCACCTTCTTTTCCAAGAAATATTCCCACTCCCATGATCCCAGCTCGTACAGGAGCACATTTCCAACCTGAAGAGTGTGAGAGAGCAGCAGGAAACGCAGAACATGTGAGAGGAAACGATGCTTGACCAGGATGCGGTTGACTTCCCCTAGAGGAGGGAGACTCAACCACCCTGGGCTTTGGGGAAGTCTGGACGAGGATAAGGATGAGAATGAGGATGAGGATGAAGACTCGACACTGGCAGCTGTCCTCTGCACTTCCCAGCATCCTGCAAAATGCCTGATTTTACACATCCTGGGGAATGACAACTCCAGGAAGGAGAATTAGGGGGCAAATCAGCCACCCTCCGGAACACTCAGCCAAGGAAAGGACAGAAATGGCTGTGTGGCTTTAACTGGCTGCGGAGCACCCCAGTGCCCGGTGAGCTCTGCTCTGTCCAAGTCCCTTATCAGAAACTGGCACGTCAGCCGGGCTGCGAGGAAACGAGAAGCGACAGCGAGGAGCAAAGCCGGCGTGATCCCAGGCCGGGCGCGCACGTGGCACCCAGCGTGCCTGTCTGGGGGCTCAGCTGTCCCCCGCCTGATTAAGGAAACCCCCCTCTCTGCATTAGAGAGATTTTCTCAGACTTAAAAGCTTCCAGCAGCCAGGACTTTGCCGGGCACGGAGAAGCCGCGGGGGTTGCGTGGCTGAATCCCACTCGCGACAGCCGCGGCCGAGCCCTGGCGGGGTTGAGGCACGGGGATGCCCCCATGGGGAGTGGTCCCCAAAAGGCAGTCGGGGGTGTGGAACCCCTCTTGCACTAGGGCTGTGTACGCTCATCCCAGACAGCTCTGCCTCCCGCTCATCCAGGGTGATAAACTGCTCCAGGGTATTCCTGTGCAGCATGGCACGGGGTGCCCCCAGTGCTCCCTGCACAGATGCCCCTCCCCACAGCCAAAAATCAGGAGATCCTCACGTTTACTGTTGTTTTAAAACATGATTTGGACAGAGCAACTTGTCCTGCCCTGAGCTGTGGTAACAGTGCCCAACCTCCAGTGCCACTGCCCACTCCCCCTCCACCAGGAAAACAAAATCAGAAGCAGGAGGCTCCTGCCTCAATTCCCCCAGGTCCCAGCTGCTCCTCATCCTTCCTGAGATGATGCCAGAGTCCCTCAGAGCTGCATCCCTCGGTAGGAAGGGGCTGCAGGCATCACAGGGAAGGTGGGACCTTGAAATCCATTTAAAACCATACTGAGTGACAAATTCCCAGCCTGAACCTTCACGGTCTCTAAATGCTCAACATGGAGAAGCTTCTGGAATGTGAGGATACTTTCTGGGAGTCAAGTTCAACTGGGAGACACCAAGAAAACACGAGAGAAATTGGATTTGTGTGCAGTGGGGACACAGCTGGGCTGGTGGGACCTGACCTGGATGAGGGGAAATGGAAATCAGCACCAAGAACAGGAATGGTCTCCTGGGGAGTATGGACATGGGAGAGAAACCAGTAAAAATCTCAGAGCAGCCCTGACCCTGTTCCAAGACAAGATGAAGATGAGGAGGGAAGCTTGAGCAGCCTCCAGACCTGCCTTCACCCCAGCGGGTTTCACTCTGTGATGGCTCTGCCAACAAGATGTGCCGAGCCCAGTGTGTTTGGGCTCTTTCTCTTGCCATCCACCAATATCCTTCCGCTCCCGATGTTCCTCTCCTCGGCTTTGGATGCAGATCCAGCTTTTCATGTGGTACAAACACAGTGTTTCTTTGGGTGCCAAGGACTGTGTGTAACTTGTCGGCTTGGGAGTGTTTGCATCTTGGACCATACGGGAACAGAGAACGCTGCCCAAAATGTTTACGGTATTTTTAGGCCAAGACAAATCTGTTCGGCGCTGCAAGCGCCGCAGTCTGAGCATCCTGGAGAGGCTGCGCTGGCGAGCGTGGCAGGGAAACATGCCTGCAAAACCCCAGCATTTTCACAGGGACGGGGCATCACCTGCCTCAAAAGGGCCAAAAAGGACATTTCTGAACCATTTCTACACAACTGTGAGGTGGCAGAAGAGTCTCCAAACCCCAGCGAGAGAAGGTACATGCTGCCAGATGCTTGGCCATGGCTCAGCTGGGAGGACAACGAGGTGAAAGCCTCAAGTTCAAACCTCTCAAAAAGACACATTTCACAGAGAACAAAAACCAAAAAGAAAGCAAGATTTAGGGGGCAGGTTGGGTTTTTTCCCTTCTCCTTCATGAAATCCAAGCCTGACCATGCTGGCCAAGAGGCACCAAAGGGATTCAAAGGCAGAAGTGGAGCGGCCCGATTCCTGCAGCAGCACAGGGCTGTGCCGCTCTGCTCCATCACCAGCGGCTCTGAGGGCATTAATTGATGCTGTAATGCTGCTAATTACCCAGCCAAGCCCTTCGTCTGCCCAGATTTAATGGCAGGTGATGACCCCACAGCTCTATCTGTGACCAATGGCTGAAGAACTGCTGGCACCTTCGTGTGAGCCAAACGCCCGGTGATGCTCTGCCAGCACCAGGGATGAGGACAAAGCAGTGGAGAGGGGCAGCACAGGGGCACTGACAGCACATGGCAGCCGAGCATCTCCTGCAATGCCAGCAGACTGCAGGAGAGCGGCCTTGGCATGAGCACCGTCTGGATGTGGCAGTGGCAGTGCCAGGAGCGGGTCAGACTGGACTTGGTTGGGTCATCCCTGGAGACCCACAAAACACAGATGGACAAGCCTTGAGCAATCCCACCAACCTGTGAGCTTGGCCGTGCTTTGAGCAGGGGCTGGGCCAGAGGTCCATCCCACCTGAACTCCTCGTGCCCTCCTACAACCCCACTGTGCCTGTCAGAACACTGGGCTGGGGCAATGCCCCCAGCTGCACCAGGTACCCCAGTGCGGCAACCCTATGAGATGCCTCCAAACACGAGGTTTGCCTGGACCACAGTAAAGTCCCACAAAGCAAACCTGCACCTCAGTTTCGAGGCATTAGGTCAACACATAACTCGAGACAGCTTCACCTCTACCACCCAAACGGAGCATTTTTGTAGGCTGAACCAAAACGATGCAGAATCCACCTGGCACTGAGCATGGGAGGTCTGCTGGCTCCATCCCCACCCTGCACCAACCTCCTGTGTTTGGTGGGGTGCCAGACCCTGCTCTGGCTCCAACACAACAGCAGAGCCGGGGAGTGGACGGGTGGCCTCACCTCGATGATGTCTGCGTTGGTCCGGCTCTCGTGGGGCTCGTTGTACTCGGTGTACTTGAGCAGCACCTTGTCCATGTCGGTGCTGGCATACTGGAACAGCTTGTTGGAGTGGTTGAAGATGATGAGGGCGATCTCGCAGTCGCACAGGACGCTCAGCTCGTAGGCCTTCTTCATCAAGCCGAACTTGCGCTTGGTGAAGGTCACCTGAAAGCAAGGACAGCCATGGTCAGAAACTCTGTCCCTGCTGCCACAGACCTGACACCTCCCAGAGACAAATGGAACGGCCACTGGACAAAGAGCAGAAGGAAAGGGAGGGCAAAGGGAATATTATGTCTCAGTTTCCTCAAATGGACCCAACCCCAAGCTCTCCTCTCTTGCTTCCCTCTTCCAACCGGTTCGTATCGCTGCCTATTTTGGGATCCTCCAAAAGCAGACACTTCACAAGCACAAAGATGATTATCAGCGTTGGAAATCACATATTGCCAAATCAAGAGAAAATAAATTTCAGCAAAATCCCCAGCAGAGCTGCCATCTGTCTGGGGGCTGCGGGTTCTCGGCAGTTTTTAAGTCGAATATTCAAGCGATGGAGATCTCGTCCTCGTTCGCCAGTGCAGCACTGTGAGCACCCAACCTTAGGGGCTGCAGAGCTGGGGGCTCAGCACCCTGACGCTGCCTTGGGGTGCCCACCCCACCCTTGACTCACTGTCCTGCTCACCAGCCCCCACTTCTCTTGGGAGGCTGTGCTTCCCCGAGGGCACCCCAATCCCCTCATGCTCCCTCTTGCTGTCCCTGTAACCTTGTTGGGGGGTTTTCTGCATTGCCTGCCTACTGGGGTCTCCTGTCCCCCGACCTGCCCTGCCTTGAGCTGTCATCAGAGCATTGGGTAATGAGGCAGCTTCTGCAGGACTGATTCTGGTGAGCTGGTTGGGGGCCGGGGCCAAACTGGGTGCTGGCTCCCACACCCGCTCCAGCTGCCGGGCAGACGCTGGGCTGTGATTCCCAGCCCACACTCAGCTCTCGCTGCCACGCTTCTAACGGGACCCAGCTGGAGGGGAGGGAGCTGCTTTGGGGCTCCCAGTCCCTTCTGCAGTGCAGACGGCTGCTGAGGGTCCCTCACCCCCCCGGAACACGTGGCACGCTGCCGGGGAAGGCGCGACGCTTGGCCAGTGCCCTCTCAGCAAATAAAAAGCAGAAGGCAGCAATAAAAGGCAGGAGGTCACAGCTCTGCTCTAAGCACCGCTCTGGGGGTGAAGCAGCCGCAGGGTGAAGGGCTGGAGTCGAGCTGAGATGCCCTGGGGTGCCTAGAGCTGCTCCCTCGCAGCATGGGACGGCTCGACCCCACTTTGGGCCTCCACCACAGCATCGATTTTGCAGCTGAACAGCTCTAATGTGCAGAGCTGAGGGAGGAGAGCGAAGGAGGCTGCTGCCTTTGCTCAACCCGAGTCAGTGGCGTCACAGCCACAGTCCAAAGAGCTCATCACGGAGCTTCCCAGCCCACGCCAGCGCTGAGGAGCAGCGCCCCAGCCCACGGTGCTGCCAGCAGCACCCAGCACACACCGCCCGGGGTCCTGCGGCCCTCGAGACAGAGCCGCGTCCCCTCATGCCGTGGGAGGGCAGAGCAGGGGCAGCTCTGGGCACGCTCGGCACAGGGAGCTGCTACCCCTCCCCACCATCGCCCAGAGATGATTAAGCAGTAACGAGATTCGGCTGTAATCCCCTCATCCCCTGGAAAGTGCAGGGCTGGCACCCCGCGCCGCTGTGCCCTCCACGTGCGCCTGCTCTCGCCGCGGCGGGGCTGTGAGCACTGGCGCTCACGTTGCCAGCGCTGCCCCAGCCCTGGCGCGCTCTGATGCAAATTAAACTACTTGAGGGCCAGTTCTGGTGTCATCAACCATTTCTCCTCCTCGGTGGCATCCTGGGCCTCTCGGCCACCCAAAATCGCTGCTGCCAGCTGCCGGACCCGGCTGGTCCCACAACCAACAGCTGGCAGTGCCACGCAGCAGCCACAGCCGCACGGTAAGACTCTGGGTGGGACCCAGCTGCGGGTCTGCTCCTCCATGGCAGGACAGGCACTAAAACCAAGCCAGGGCTCCCCAGCACTGTGCCAGCAGCGTTTCTGGTCCCACATCCCTGCCAGAGACCAGGCGCTCCGCTGTGGCTCCGGCAACACCACAGCCTGGCACGACCTGCCTCGCTGTCCCCGCCGGGACGGCCCCGCGGCTCTGACTCACCCTCTAAGCAGCCCGAGGAGCCCCTGAGAGGAAAACACACCGTGTCTCTGCCAAGACAGAGGGAACAGCCGAGTGTGGCTGTTTCTGCTGCTGCCGGTGCTGGGGATACCTCACCAAAACACACCTTGCCAGGCCTCATCCACCAAGATCAGGGGCAACAAGGGTGAGGCCGAGGCGTGTGAACAAGGGAGCAGCTCCTGGCAATGAGACCAGGAACAAGCTTGGTTTGGGTTTTGCCCTTGAGTGTGGGGTCACCTTCCCCAAAACAACCAGAGAGCTGAGCAGAACACAAAGCACCAAATTATCCCTCTACAGATGAGGAGGTATTTCCTCTGCAGACAGGAACGGGGCAGAGGAGCATCCATCTGTCTTGGCACCCTTGCTTCTTGCAGAGAAAAGCAAAGATTTACCATTTAGCCATGACTTCACACAAAGGCATCACCTAATGCTGCCTTGGGCATCCACCCGTGACCCGGGACAGAAACCCCAAACCTTCCCTGACGCCGTGCACGAACCCAATCTAGAAGAATTAACCTTGTAAGTCTAAGAGGGTAATCAAATCTCATGCTTCAGGGCATAAGCCGATCACCAAAGGGGTCAGGAAGGAATTACTGCCCCACACTAGCAGGGGATTTTTGCCTTTCCCCTGATGCAAACCATATTGGCGGTTGCCAGAGTCAGCGGCCTGGCCCTGAAGGACTGATGGCCTGATCTGTCGTGGCAAATCCTCTCCAGTAATTCCCCTAATGACATTAGCGACTCTTACTTGCTCTCGTCCCCTGGTTTTGGCTGCTGCTGCAGTTCACAGAATCACACGCTGGTTTGGGTTGGAAGGGATCTAAAAGCTCATCTTGTCCCATCCCCCGCTATGGGCAGGGACACCTTCAATGGGACCAGGTTGCTTCAAGCCCCGTCCAACCTGGCCTTGAACACTTCCAGGGATGGGGCAGCCACAGCTTTTCTGGGCAATCTGTGCCAGGGCCTCAATATCCTCACACAGAAGAATTTCCTTCTAATATCCAACCTGAATTCTCACCCTTTTCAGTTTAAAAACATCCCCCCCTTGTCCTGTCTCTCTAGGTCCTTGTCCAAAGTCCCTCTCCAGCTCTACTGGAGCCACTTTAGGCAGTGGAAGGCACTCTAAGGTCTCTACAGAGCCTTCTCATCTCCAGGCTGAACAATCCCAGCTGCTCCAGCCTGTCTCCAGAGCAGAGGTGCTCCAGCCTTCAGAGCATCTCTGTGGCTTCCTCTGGACCCGCTCCAGCAACTCCCTGTGCTGCTGGAGCCTCCATGTGGATTTGTGGTCTGTGCCCCCATGAAAGGCAGAAGGTGGGATATGAGCAGGGTCAGACTCAGTGATTCCACAGGCTTGGTGTGAAGATGCAAGGGAAGAGCCTCCCCTCACAGTGAAGGCTCTGGAGAGCCCCTGTTCAGCCTTCACTCTCCCTGAGGTTCCTGACGCCTCAGCAGCCCCCAAACCCTGGTTAGGGATGAAATCCTCAGCAGCTCGAGTGGAACCGCAGGCGTCGAGCGGCTCTGCCTCCAGCTCCTTGCAGAGCCATTCTCCAGCACACTTCCCCTTCCCCACCTCTCCCTCTCCCAACAGGCGCAGGTGCCGTGGGAGCCATCGGGGCACGCCCTAGGATGGCTCACGGAGCTGCCAGCCCTGCATTTCCAGCAGCACAAAAGCCCCATCCATAATTCATCAGCGCACCAGAGAGAGCCAAGCGTGCCCCCCGCGCCGAGCCAGGGATGCTGTGGAGGCAGGGGTGGGCTGAGGATGCTCCCAGACACCGGGTCTAAGCCAGCTTAGCCCACAGCCACGGCAGGAACGCACGCACAGACGCCTCTCACGGCTGATCTGCAGGAACAGCCGGAGAGGGAGGGAAGGGGAGCAAGAAGGAAGAGGCAGCTCCAGGGAGACGTCACTGCGGCCTCTCGGCTTTTCAAAGAGACGGAGAGGACTTTTCACATGGGCAGATGTAGAGGGGGCAAGGGGGGGACGGTTCTAAAATGATGAAGGGGAGATTTGGGTGGGATGTTAAGGAAGAAATCCTTCCCTGTGAGGGTGGGGAGGCCCTGGCACAGGTTGCCCAGAGAAGTTGTGGCTGCCCCATCCCTGGAAGTGTCCAAGGACGGGTTGGATTGGGCTTGGAGCACCCTAGTTTAGTGGAAGGTGTCCCTGCCCATGGCAGGGGGGCGGGACAAAAAGGTCTTTAAGGTCCCTTCCAACCCAAACCATTCCATGATTCCATGAGATGAAGCAAGAGAGGACACTTCTGACTTCAGGGAGTAGATCCTGGCATTGCCCATGTACAGTGTGGAACAGGAGGGTTCTCACCCCCTTTACAGCTCCCACTGTGGTGGATGGAGCAGATCAGCAACCCCCACTGCCTGGAGCAGCCCTTCACAAAATATCCCATCTTCCTGGTGTGTCCTTGTTTCCCAAAGAAAGGGAGCAGCGAAAGTAACTGATTGCAAAGCTGCACTGATGACCAATTAAACAGCTGCAGCTTTGCTGACACCCGACTTGAACAGGGCTGGGTTTTTGGGAAGCAAAGCGAGACGTGCCGTGCTGGGGTGGGGTGGGGAGCAATGCTCCCATACTGGGTTTTGGAAGAGCCAGCCCAGCCAGGGCTGCAGCTGCTGCCAGGGGAAAACCAATGTCCCCCAGCCCAGGGAGCTGGGCTTTGGGGAGAACACCTGACACGGGAGATGTGCTAAAAACCACAGCACCTGGCCGGGCAGAGCAACTCCTGCTGCCAAATCCCACCCAGCACAGCAAGACCCCAAAAAACAGCCCCACCAACCTCGACTGTTGCCTCTGGCAGAGAATTGCCTCTTTCCTTTCCCGAAGCCTTATCCAGCAGGGTCAGGCTGTGCCACCCCCCCTCCAGCATTACCAAATATTTTCCATTTGCCTGAACTTCCAACAGGGCTCCCTCCAGTCGCTGTGGATGCCTCTCTCCCCTCAGCAGTGCTGCCCCATAAAATACAGCCTGGCTCCTTTAATAACCCCTAAGGCCCAGTTTCCTCTTCGTTATGGACACAAACAGCCCCAGGAGCAACTGGGACATCAGCAAAACCCATTTGATGCTCATCCCAGCCCCCACCACCAAATGAAGCTGTAATGAGGAAAACCTGCCATTTCCTATTGTTCTGCTGCGGAGCAATAAACTGGTTCATCCAACTCTCCTCTGTGCCACTCTTTAAGCATTAGGAATATATCCACATATTTTTTTGCTTTCTTTTTTTTTTTTTTTTTTTTTATGTAATAAAAGCATCAGGAAAGAAGCGTGGCAGGGTACTCTGGGGTGTGGAGCTTGCTGTACTTAGGGCAGAGGCTTGAGTCTGCTTAGCCAAACTCCAGGAGCACAGGAAGCAAAGGGACCTGCCTGGAAGTCTTGTGGTTATGGGGAATACACCGATGGAGTCATCCCAGAGCAAACCTGGGCCAGCAAAGAGCTGCTGCTCCGCTGCTCCCACTCAAGGAACAGGGAAATTTGGGAAAAGCCTGATGGGTTTTTTTTCCCCTCTGAGATACACAAATGCATTCCTACACACACATGGACATGCGTGTGTGTCTCGGGCTTGGCTTCAACACAGCCCAAGGAAAAAAACCCTGGAGCCATGTAAGTTTTCAATTGAGAAAAAAAAAAAAAAAAAAAAAAAAGGAATAATTTGGGTTGTTTGCGTTCAGCAAAATGGATACTTGTTGTGGCTGTTTTTTATTGGAAAAACCACATGGAAAATGTCAACTGAAATATATTTTCTGCAAGACAAAAAAAAAAAAAAGGGGGAACTAACTAAGTGGAGAAGATACTTTCTTCTGGAAAAGCACTTAGATGGAAACGGCGTGAGGAGCTCCAAGGCGAGGAGCAGCGCCTGGGTGGGGGCCGTGGTGCAGCGGGGCTGTTTGCCTGGTTCTGGGATCCGCCCGGATCCGGTGCCGAGTCTCATCCATCTGCTGATCCCATGGGTTGGGGAAAAAACCAGCACCAGTGGGCCAAAATGGGATGGAAATGGGTCACTTTGAAACAGAACCCTTAAAACCCCCAATGGGAGAGGAGGAGAAGGGGCGAGGGGGGAGTTGCAGCACTGACCTGCCGATTGCGCTCGTCCGTGATCCGTTGGATCTGGATCTTTTTTCTCCCCATCTTCTCCGGAAATCCTCACCGCACCCGGCACGACTTCGGCTCAGGGAGGGGAGAAGTGACCCCGCTTCAAAACGCTTGCATTAAAGAGAGTCTAGGGGCTTTCTTCGTGGGTGGAAAACCCCCCAAAAAAAGCCAAACCAAAAAAAAAAAAAAAAAAAAAGGAGGGTTTTGGGTCTCTCCGTGCTCAGTTCATGGTACCCCCGTGCGTGGCCGGATCCAGAGGGGCTGAGCCGTCAGCAGCTGCTCAGAAACCTGCAGAAGGAGAGAGACAGGAGTGAGCCAGTCTGTTCCCAAACCGTATCCAGGACCCAGCGCCCTCCCGACATCCCCACTCACCCCGGGCCATGGGGGTCTCTGGTCCTTCCTCCCATTCAGCTCTGGGGCCAGAAAGGCTGCAGAGGGATTTACCCAACCCGGTCTTGAAGGACCCCAAGGATGGAGCCCAAGAGGGGCTACAGGGCACGTGTGGGCCGGGCATGGCGACGCTGAGGGAGGAGGAGGAGACGGCAGCAACGCGCCCGTGAATCATTTCATTATTCCTCCCTGACACTCCAGACTTTTTTTTTTTTTTCTCTTAATAAAGTCATAAGTAGTCGAGTGGCTGGTGATTAGCTTGGGCAATTTAAATCCGTCTCCAATTTCTGCACTAATCTTCAATTTGGAATTTTAAAATGTCTTTATTTGATTACTTAAAAAAACCTTATAACCAGGCACAGAAACCTAATTCTTAGGAGAAAGGAAGACTCTGAAGGCAACCGAGATATCTTGGCCTTCCACTGAGCTCAGCCACAGCCAGACACCGGATGCTTCCATTGATCCAGGGGGTGTGTGGATTGACTCGGGGGTATCTTGCACCCTAAGCTCTCCAAAGGGGTCAGTCCACAGGTCCCAGAGCATCCACATGGCTCCTTCCACAGCCTCACTCCGGGACCCCACAGCAGATCACAGGGCAGGGACTCAGCCCCGCCGGGCACCCGCATCCCCTGATGTCAGAGGCTCCATCCAGATGTCCCAGGGCACCTCCTGACACAGCCTCCCAACCCCGTTTCACCCCCATTTCTGAGTGTGTGCTGCAGTGCAGTGAGGGGCACAAAGAGGGAACTTCAGCCGGTTCATTTTCCACAGGTATGTTCTTCTCCCAGCTCTCTCTCCGAGCGGCTGGATAACAGCAGTGATAACACTGCATTTAAGGCGAGGTGCCCTGTGCCAAGACCCAGGCAGAGGGAAAAGCCATTCCCAAAATAGCTTCCTATCTGCCTCGACTTGGCAGTTCCCAGCTCTTGGTCTTGTTACAAAAAGCATGAAAAAAAACCCACCAACCTTTTCTTCCATCCCTTCATCCCAAATTCACCACAGCAGCCGCATTCAACCCTGACCCAGCTCCTCCTGCTCCTCTCCCACCCTAAAGCCCCCTCAGGCCTCACTGAAATCCCCCAGGGACCTTGGTCCCATCCTTTGCCCTCTCATCAGACCACGTTTCAGCAACAAACATCAGACCATGTTTCAGCAACACTCCCACACTTGTTTTTGGGGTTCATTGAGTCACGTGAGTCACTTAATGTTTGGGGTTTTTTTGGTGAAATTATTCATCATGCATCGTGTTCTGTGGTTTCAGTGCAGGTTTAAGCAGCCCAGAGGAGAATGGGGAGACTTTTTCCCCCCACCCCCTAAATCCACCATTTGCCCTGCAGGGAGGATGACCAAGAGGAAGCACAGGAAGGAGATCAGAGAGACAAAGGGCAGCAAAACCCTCTTTTTTTTCCCCTTGTAAATCCCACCAGGAAGACTCTTTGCAAGGACAGACCATACAGGGATGGCATTTGCTGCTTGGATCATTATTTCCCAAAGTTGGTGAGCGTTTCCCTCCCAGCAGCAAATGGGAGGGACTGTCCAGCTGTGAGGAGCATTGTCACCATGGGGGACACTGAGCCAGTGCCCGGGGATGTCCTTCAGCTGCTGCTCCCCGTCCCTCTGTGGGCAGCCTCAAAAAGATAGGTCCCAGAGCATTGCCAGTCCCAGAGCATCGTCGACCCCAAAGCATCACCAGTCCCAGAGCATTCCCAGTCCCACAGCATCACTGGTCCCAGAGCATTCCTGGCCCCAGAGCATCACCAGTCCCACAGCATCACTGGTCCCAGAGCATTGCCAGTTCCAGAGCACCACTGCCCTGGCTGGCACCAGCAAGCAGGCAATGCAGGTGCTGGGCTGCCACAAGATTATCCCTCCAAGGTCGGTGATATGGGAAGAGCCAAAAGGAAAATGAGGACTTTTGTTCCATCCACCCGGAGTGTCCGCTCGGTGTCTCCCTCACTGTGAGGCCACACGGGACAGAGTCCACAGCCCGAGGCTCAGGGCCAAGGTGAGCTTTTTGCATGCACAGAGAAGCTTTGGCAGAGGAGGAACCTTCTGCCTGGTTTGCTTTGCCGCTTTTCCCTTCGGAGCTGCCACTCCTTTAAACTGGCTGAAAAATATTCACCTTCAGCATCTTCGAAACCGCCAGCAGCAGCACGAAGTAGCAACAGCTCCTCATCCGGACCCAGGGCAAGATGCTAATTCTTTCCGTGTGCTGCAGCTCTTGGACAGAGAAACCCTCTGAAAGACGTCGGATTTACTGTCCAAACCAGAGAGGAACAACTCTCCAGAAGCAACAATAAACACTGTAGAACAACGGGCAGTAAATTTAAACTGAGTGAAAGGAAACATATTTTAACACAATTTCGTTGTGGGACTTGTTCACAGGATGCTGTTGCAGCCAAGAGCTCCACAGTGCTCGAAAAGAGATGGGATATTTGTAGGGATAAGAAGATCCCAGTGCTGCTCATGCCGGCCCTGACCTCTGCATGAGCCGACGCTTCTTGCATGGGAGCGGAGGGATTCAAACCACATTCCCCTCCCTGGGCCACAAATAAACCCCAAGTGTTTCAATTCTAATCCCTTTTTTTCAACCACCAAACCAGATTCCTCTGCTGCTCTGAATCCCAAATCCTGCATCCTCAGCACCTCGGGTGGATGGGGACCACTGTCCCAGCCTCGGGGTTTGCTCATGCCACTGGGTGAAGTTCTCCACAGGAAAAAGGCAACTTAATAGTTTTTTGCTCATCATCAAGGGGAGAAAAAGAGCTGCCATGTGATGCTCTTGATCCCTCTCCCCTACACAGGAAGGAAAACACCCCATTGCAAGGGCAACAATCAGATGGGACGAAGAGGAGGGATGGAGAAGAGTAAGGTATGTTTGCTGCCTTCCAAATGCACCCAACAGGGGGGATTTCAAACTCCTCCCTTTTCTCTTTATGCTCCTGGTGTTGGAGCTCGGGTTTGGGGGTGGGTTTATTTGGTTTTAGGTTGGGTTTTTTCCCCATCATATTTTTAAACCCAGGTATTTTCACATTTCCTGCCCAGGTGGCTGTTTCAGAAAGTCCAACCACAGGCTCGAGTTTCTGATCAGCACCTGGAAGCACAAGAAACCTGGAGAGCTGACTTTGTTCCTCCTGTCCCCCGTGCCAGCACTGCCACTGACAGCTCAGCCCCAACCCAGGAGCACCCCCTTTGCCCCTGGAGCTCCCTCTCCTTCACCACCAAACTGCTCTGTGTCCCTCACTGCTCAACTCAAGGCATCAGGATCACCCATGACCCTCCTCCCCTCCGTGATCAGGTGGAATTTAAGCACCAAGAATGTGGATATAGCAAAGCCCCCGGAGCACAGGACTGTTACAAGGAGTTGTGCTCCTAAATAACCTTCAACCTTTGGGGTCTCAGGTGGTTCTATTCAACGCAGTTAACCCCAGTCATTAAAACATCTTCTTTCTCAGACAGCAGCTTCTTTCCCCTGAGCTTGGCTTTCCAAGAAAAATGCGAGGAAGGTCCAAGGGCATCGAAAGGGACCTATGAACCTGCGTGGAAAGCAAACCACAGGCACTGCACAGGCGAAAAGCCACTCTGTCCCTCTTCTGCCCCAGGGAATCTCGGCAAGGATCAGGGAATTCAGCATCGCCCCGGGGAGGCAGCGAGAAGCGCTGGGAGAGAGGCAGAGCCTGCATCTCCACACCCACCCCCCCTCGCCCCGAGCTACACACCCCCCCCTCCACGCTCGCACAAGTGTGACTATCACAGCAATTAGCACACATGCCAATTAACTCCGAGCAGGTGCTGGTTAACTCTGTGCTGAGTAATTCATCCCCGGCTCCCAGTAAATTGCTCCAAATTGGAGAGACGGGCGAGGGAGCAGAGTTAGCATTTTGCAAATGGGGGAAGAAAGAAAAAGCAGAGAGGAATCTCAGCTGGGAGATGTTTTTACAAAACAAGGAATTTGGGGGGCTGGATCCCCAGCTCCAAGAGCTGGGGACACGGGGGAGCTGATAACTCTTCCAAGTCTCTATTTCTGTATTTTTTCACCTACATATTTCTGATCTATTCTACCTATTTCTAAGTGGCTTCACCTCGGCTTTGCACGAGCAGTGGGGTGCTCTGCACCGCTCTGTAATTTGTCACTTTTCCATTCCTCCTGAACAGCTCCACGTTTTCTGAGCAGGGACACTCAAAAGTCTCACATCCACTTTCTATGGCCATTTGCTATTTTTAATATACTTTTATTGCAATCCCTTTTTAGTTGCTCCTTGCTAAAGTTAGCACAGCACACCGCCCCTCTCGAGGGCAAAGGAATTCGGCTGCCCTTCCTTAACACCCGCCTTGCAAAGCCGTGTGCTCTCAGCGCAATGTCAGCTGAGATAAACCAAACCTTGGCCGTGCAGCTGCAGGGGGAAGATCAAAAAGATGAATCCAAAAGCTTTAGGAAGATAAATAAAGGCAAATAAACGCATCCTTTCCAAAAATGTATTTGCCTTTGGAGCTCTTTGTTTTTCCCCGGCGTGTGGCTCCCCAGTCCACTCGTGCCCGTGCAGAAACAGCAGAGCCAGCAACACAGGTGACAGCAAAACTGGGAGGGGTTCAACCAGTGTTCAAGGGACATTTCCTCCACCTCCATCCCCAAACCAGGGCTGGCACCATGGGGACGTCCTTGGCTGCGAGGAAACCTGCAAAAGCAGCTTCAAAGGACAGTTGGAGCTTGGGTAAAGAAAGGATAGAAAAGGGAAAGAAATAAAACACTGCCCTGTGAAGATGCAGCTCATCTGATGGATGAGGTGAATGGGAGGATGTTTGATCATGGCACAGAAAGCCCCAATTTGGAGGGAGAAATGCAGGTGACAGGCAGAGCGCAGCCCAACCCAGTCCCTGCTCTGCCCAGGCACCCAATG